AGATTTTGAAAAGAATTTTTTATTCTCTTGATCTCGCGATGAAGTCTATGTCAAAGCAACCATATGATAACATTTACTGAATTGTTATGCTAAAGATGTTGATATCGTTTCAATAAAATTAATATTTCTTTTCTAAGCTATTTATCGATTGTCTGTATTATTTGATTTGATATCGCATAAGGTAAACTTCTGACAAAATTGATTCGACAGCAATTTGTGAAATTAATTCAAGTATCTTTTTAAACTTTTATAACTAATATTATTAATTAAAGATATTCGAAATGATATGGATATTTAATGCAAAATAAAATAATTCATTCTTAAATTTAGGTAGCATCCCAAATTTTACATTCGCGAAACTATGGAATATGAAATCTTGATTACGTCGTCAGTCATCTTTCCTTACAAATACATCGTTCATGTATAGCTCAGTTAATTTCGATAATTCGCGACAACTCTCGTTTTCCTTCTCTTTTCTGTAAGGCAATAGTAGTGTCGACGATAGTTACCGGAAATTACAGTATACTCGTATATTACCACAGGAATTTTCAAGGAAAGCATTTCATAATGGATCGCGAATTGCGTTTCAGATCTTACGACGTATGGTAGATCATAGATCCTTTGCAAAAGATCATCGATCGATCGACTCGCAGACTCATTCATTATTCTCCGATTGCATATTCACACATCTTAAGTTCTCGTTGCTCGTATTTTCTCCAAAGCAGTAACGTTCATTAATATATATTAAACGAAACATTGTCTCGGCGCAACGAAAGAATACGAAATCTTACCTTCGTGACACGGTACGAAATATATTATATTCTGTATATATAAGGACTTTTCCGTAAAGAGTACACCTGCGTACTTTAATAAATACAAATATCTTATATATTTATTGTTGCGATATATAAATATCGTAGATTGTAACAATATCATACTTAAAATTTGATATTATACAAAGTTAATCTGACATGATTTTTTATTCATTCGCGTATGTACATTAAAAATATCGCGATATAATTTAATCAAAAATAAATGATGTGACACGCTTTTAATGTAATTTATTGATAAAATTACAGTTTAGATTTCATGCTAATTCAATTTATACCATGTTTTCCGGAAGCTATAAAGCAAACTTTAATCAAGAGCAGCTTTAAATCAAGAGTGAGCATTTCTCGCGGCCATGAATTTTGGGCGCAGTGTAAATTTATGTATTTCTAGCCACGTGTATTTCTACCGCGAGTGGCAGAACTGCGAATTACGTATGGGTTTATGAATCTCAAACTACGCATAGAATCTTCTCGAGGGTTTTCGGAATCCATGAATCCATAAATTCCCAAAGAATAGGGCTTTGCCTATGTCTGCCAATGTCCTTCGTTGAGAGAATGCGAGCAACCAGCATTGACGAATAAATCTCTCTCTCTCTCTTTCTTTTTTTCTTTCTACATATCTATTTATCTTTACCTTTATCTACTGATACTATGACTGATTTTTTTGACGAAGGTAGACCGTAGCGCGCGAAATGGGTCGGAGGTGCAAAATGGATGCGCTTTATTCTTGCGACGATTTTTTTCGGCGCTTCTACTCAATTTGATAATAGAATAGGATTCGAGTGACAAACGATATATCACGCACACACGAGTTCTCTCGGATGTGTACACGAGACGTTATACACAATATACAATCGATATTAGATCATGAGGGACGATCAGTTCGCGAGAGTTCCGGCTGAAATCGAATTTTACCTCGAAAAAATGTTGATAAAGAATATTTACTAAATTAATCTTAAAAGTTTATTTTCGAATGTATAAAAATAGAAAAAGTTTTCTATTTTTAGAACTTTATTGATAAAATATCCTATGTATTATAATTATTGTATTTAAAAAATTTATCGCTTATTTTGCAATAATTCTCAATTTTTTAAAATTAAAATACTATTTATATTTTGATGATATATTTGATATATGATTGATATTTGATGATATTTTATTCCATTTATCGTATTCTTATAACGATAAAGTTTAATTACAAGGCAGGTTTTGATTATTAGCGAAAATAATTCGCAATGAAGATACGTTGTATTGCTGTTTAAGCCGAACCGGTTGAATGTTTCAATGTTCTTTTATTTGGCATAAGAATGAAGTTCTTCATGCCAGGGCAGACGTTAATCCGGCTTGAAAACGTCGGATCTCCATACGAATCATCGTCCCTCTCTTGGCATTCTGGCATGCTTTCGCTTTTCGATTCGCTAATTCGCGCGTTAACTATTCGTATATCGTTCTCTGACTCTCTCTCTTTTTGCTTATGCTTTTTATGCGTTTATATCTCGCACGAATGCGTTTGCACATTATACGTGTCTCTCATACATGGCTTGAGTATTCGCACTAAATGCTCTATCTTTTTTTGCCGAGTATTCTCATTCCAGCAATAATTTTAAAGGCAGACATTATCTCTTCCAAGCTATTGCAGCTAGATTTGAACTATTTGTTTGGATACCGAAGATAGATGTTGGTATTAAAAGTAAAATAAAATGCAGATGTTTTTTTTCTTGCGATCAGATTAAAAAATAAATTTGGTTATTTCTCAAATTTTTCAACTGTTTTAGGAATGTTAAATATAGGTACGAATTCTCAAATAATTTTGTTTTCGGAAAATGTTAAATCAAAAAAGTGTAAAGTGTTCTAATTCCGATAGCAATTTCAGTGAATCGATATACAGAGCCAGAGAGTCGCAAATATTCGTCGACTTTTATGTGATAAAAATATATGCAAAAGATAAGGATTTCGTTACTGTTCAGACGACTATTACTGCGCGAATTTCCGATCGATAATCTGGGAATAATTTCATTCTTTAACAGTTCTACTGCTTTTTTTTCCGTATCAATTTGTCTCTTTTATTAACCCATATCGTCAAACGAACGGACGGACTGATTACATTTGATATATCCTGAGAATCGCGCATATTTAATTTTTTAAATATTAAAAATTAAATTAATTGTTTCCATACATCGTTTTATATGTATGGAATAAGAGGAAGTTAAAGACATTAATTTATTAAACAGAAGCGTTTTATATTCCAAAATGAATGTCTGTAAAAGTTCTTAGTAGTAAGTAATAAAAAGAGATTTACATAAGTTAGTCTTTATTTTCCATTAGGTTCTTCTAAAATGAAGTAATGCTTAGCATTGTCTTACAAAACTTGTCAACTTTTCCTTAGTCGGAAATGAAACCAAAGTCACTTTACACTTTTGTGACGCATTTCATCTCTTTTTTCTTTTTAATTTATGTGCGTTTAAAACATAATTTCTATCACATTGAATGAAATCTGCAGTCCGTACACAATTTATTCTTCATGTCTTGAGCGTGTATTTTAACAACAAGATGATGTTGTAGAAGTTTTGCTGGTTAAATACTTGTTTCGCTGTATTGAATTGCATGTGTTTACACTCTGTCTTGCATTTTTTAATACTTTATTGGCTCATCCAATTGTCGGAAAGTTTCCGAAGGGTTTAGTACAAGGATACACATTTTCTGCTCCCACCTAAGATATCTATTTGTAAGTGACGCTTTCGTCAAGCACAGTTTGTATGTATCTATAGAATTCTGAAGGTATGATTCCATTAGATAAACGAAGTGGGATTATACTCGTTCCAATATTAGGAAGATAAATTGACGCATCGATACAAGTCACATGAATGAAAACAGTTTATCACAGCATGAAAACGCATTCACTCCAATGTTTGACTTTTGCGTTGAGCCTTTTTCTGTCTGTTTGTCTTGTCTGATTCGCTCCGTCTTCCTTTGGAATGGTTATTTCCATCATATCCAATCCAGTGCACAATCCGATTATATGTACATATATCTTGATCCTCAATGCTCTTTAGCTATTTGACTACCATTTTTGCGTTGTTCATAAATTTGTTCTACTCATTACTTTATTTTAGTTTTTCTTAAGAATCCCTATAATACGTATTTGCAAAATACGGCAAACACTTGTTTTAATTCTGCATGTTGAAAACATGAATAATTAATTATTTATTTATATAGTAATATTAAGGATAAATTTTACAATTGATAACCAGGCTAAAATAATTAACGAACACAAATTAGAGTCGCACTTGTTAAGGCTAGAATTTGGAAGGAACATGAAATATCTAATTGTTAAAAAACCGTAAACAATAAAATATTCGAAAGATATAAAATTTCTTTCATATTTTCTTCTTTTATATCGTATATAAATAAAAAATATGTATGTATAACATATATAAATATATATACGCGAGTTTCTTCTTTATGCGAGAGAAAATGTATATTCTTTTTTGTAAAACTCAAAAATTATGACATATAAAAACGTAAGATATGAAATTGAATTACGAAAGATGTAGAAGAAAGATTGTACATAATCACATCGAAACGGAAATATATCGTTCGATCGACAATATAGAAATTTAAAATGATTCAAAAATCGGTAATTACTCGTTACTACAACGTCAATTGTATTGGACGAACGACCGATGAATTTGATTTTACTTCAATATGCACAAATTAACAACACAAATTACAGCAGTAGTAACTTGATTGCATTTTTTTTTTTTTAAGCGACAGGCTAGTTTCAGATTAACATTTGACATCAAGCGAACTTGCCCTTTTTAACTGTTGCATTAAGAAGAGCTCTCGATGTTCCTTTCAAACTCGAGCTTTGTATTAGCTATGTCACGGAGCACATTTAAAGTGGAGAAACGCTCTCAAGATCGTTTCGAGGTATACAGGACCTAAATAAGTACACGGAATAAATACTCCTTCTAATCCATATCCTCGTTTCAAGATCATTCCATTTTATATGTATTCTCTATAATCTCGCTTTTTATCTTTTTTTCTCTTGTTCCTATCTTATGGTCTTTGATACTACTACTTTTTGTTTTACTATCTCTTCCTCTCGTCATTTTTCTTCCGTTTTCACTTTCCCAATGTCGATTTACTGAAACGCTCTGCGCACTCCAGGTCGAAGCATTATCACGAAGAAGGGTGATGGCTCTCAAGTGAAGGAATCCACCGACAGCAGCACAACGATCGAAGACGATGATGTTAAAGGTAGGAGATCCCCATCCTTTTTATGTCTCTCTCACTCTCTTTTTTTTTTTCATAATTACAAAACGCGTTGAATTTTTTTAACAGTGATTATTATAACGAACTAACTGTAGGCTATCAGTGCGAAAATGAGTGCTTAAAACGGTTGATCTTCACGATCGCGATTGTAAGCACAAGGAATAGATAGAATGGGATAGCTTATTATATCGTATAAATATTCGAAATCTTTTTACACGGATATTTATCGACTTTTGTACCCAAAACACGCCAATAGTTTCTCATACGATATCGCCAATTTCGACATTTCGGTAAGAAATTATTTGTGCAATTTCAGTTGTCGTAACGAGCACTTGTTTAAAGCCGGTATGCCGGTTGGCATCTAGCTATTAAAGCACGTCGCCGTTGTGCTCGAAAGCTTGGATTGAATTATGATAGCGATTCCGTCGCCATCGCGGCGGTATTGTCGTCACGCGAGCAGAATAATCGGTGATAGTTCCAATAACAATGGCCCGATGTACAAGTTCTTAGTTCCCGGCAGTGATTCACAGCATATATCTCTTTACTGCGTGCTCGTTATGAGAATTTAATGAGAAACTTGACTACAGGCGGAGAAATTGCAGCTTGGTGTTCGCGACTTATCATATAGTACCATGTAATATAAAGATCAACATTGCTCTTAAATTCGATGATATATAGCTATTTGAAGATCTCATTTCTATCTGTCGAGCTTTGTTGTATTCAAACGTCAAGTTGGATTTTGTGAAAATTTTATATTTCATTATTTATATTTAATTCGAATAATATTATCTCGTGAGATTTAATTGAAGACAAAATTTAATCGAATTTTATCGGTCGATATCAATAACTGTAACTGTTAAAGATACGTATGGCTGTCTGAAAAGTGTCTGGAATGTTACAGAAAGGATATTCGACCCAACTGAATCAATTATTTTTCTGATCTTTTTTTTTTTTTTTACTTGATGCAATGTCACGCATTAACGCCACGTTTTATCGCAGTTACTGCGGGAGATTAATTTACATGGACGTTATTATATAATATATTGCGCATATATAAAAGTAAAGAGCACGGGCGCGTATCGATCCCTCATTAGAGATACTCCTCTCGTTCTCACGTGCAAGTCGATCGTTGGACGATAGCTCGAGTAGTTAAATATCCACTCGTTGCTTATCCTCTGGCTTATCCCCTTTCCACCCTGCGTACACCTGTGCTCCGTTTATTGATACACCCGCGGTTATGCCGCAAAGGTAAACCTTTCGTGGAAAGGTTTAGGAACATCAATTGCAAAGATGGTTTAAACTTAGTTTTATTTGAAACAAAAATTAAATTACGGGAAATAAATGTAAATACTTGTAGATACTTGATACCATACTTGATTATATGCGGTTGAGAAAACGTTTGAGAAGATTTAGTTATTTTACAATGTTTTATAGTGTGTTTGTGTTGGATTTTCGTTGAATGCTTTTCAAACCGATATGATTTAATTTCATTGGCACAATATCATTTCTGTGTGTGCTGATTCCTTTATTATATACCGTAAGGTGTACTCTCGGTCGCAGATCCTAAAGTTTGCCCCTTTCTCCCGGTCTGTAGAAAAGTCGATCTCGCCTTGATCTTTCTCTTTAGATACTTCTCTGTAGATACTTTTGATTATACACTTGTCGATCGATCTCTTTCGTGTTTCATTTGTCTGTCCGCGTTCGATCGCACGTGTACGTTCTTCAAAGTTCACCGAAGATATCCATACACAGCGAAAAGCAAGACAGTCAAATATAAGAAATTTGATTTGGGATATTTCTATAAAATTTACGCGCGCACACACACACACACACACACACACACAAAAACCTTTATTTAAATTATAAATATATTTCAATCAGAGTTATCTAATGTTAATGGTTTCATTAAACTTTATCAATTATGTTGCGATTATGTTTTACTGTGTATTGCTTTTCCTTATAAGAGTATCATACTGACACGATA